TCGGCAATAGCACTAAATGCATGACATAGTTTTATCTGCATCGTTTACTGTCGGCACAGTAACAGACTTTTGTACATACAAAGATCAACTGTTTCGTTATATTTACAGCAAAAAATCCAAACAAATATTTCAGAAAAAATACAATCGTGATTTAAAATTTTGACTTATTGCCATTAAAGCTCAGAAATTTATCATCACGAACGAGAGAGGCTACATTGGTCAAAGCAAAAATCAAAAAAGCTTAGTGCCTCTACTTCTTACACTTTCAAGAAGTGAGCCATTTAAACCATATTCAAACTGTCACATAATATATCAAATAATGATTTATGGTTTTTTGTTAGAAATGGCTTAAAGTACAATTGCGTCACTATGATGCAATACCTCGGTCCTGGTTCAAACTTTGCACACCCTATCCTCGTTAAAGTTTCGCTATCTTAGTAATCTCTGACCCCTTGGGTATAAAAGCACTCTTCCCCATCCCCGGGATACAGCAGTTAGATCAATTCACGCGAGAAGCTTCGGCTCCCCAAAATCTCACCACCTTTTTTTGTATTGCCTTTTATTATTTTTCGTACCTATAAATATGCATATACGACTAGGTATCTTCAAAAACTTACACACAGGGCACACCACTAGTCTAAAATGTTAACTTTTAGGGTCGCGATAAAACTCGAAAACACTTTTAACTTTTAGTCACTCTATATCACAGCTCGAAAAAACCCGTGAAATAGGCTCATTATTGCGGGCCCCTTTGTATATCACTCATTTTCCACGAGGGCATTTACCTGCAAATCGAATAACGACACTAATATAACCAAGACTTTACTGCTTCAGTGGAATGTCAGTGAAATGAACCGGTGATAGTTTAACTGCTCCAAGAATGTTTGGTAAAGTCATCGGCAGCTCATTAAGAAAAAAGAAGCAAAATAAGAATGGGGGAAAAAATTATCAAGGACGATTCTACAAAGGCAGTATCAGAAGCACAATAGGCGCCTAAATTTTTTCGATGCGAAAACATAAAACCAGAAATCATTGCCAATTTAACAAAATTACCAAAAAATTACCAAAATTACTAAAATATTAATGAATGTTACAAGGATGCGCTTACAAGCCAACTTGATTAGAACAGGCCCATTGGTTCTAAATTTTTTTTTTTTTTTGTCTTTCTTTTAATTTTACACAAAACGCTTGCCAGTTTTACATTATTACAGCGTATAAAATAAGTTGACCGGAGAAGTTCTTCTCAACTATGGCTCACAAAAACCCAGTTCGGATCAAAGGAAAAGTTGCCGAGAGAGAAAGAGCAGCTCAAGAATGCTATTACAATTTCAACATCACAAAATGTACTCGCAATAAACAATATGAAACCAGAGAACAGCAGAAGGGACACTACACAAAATTCAATAAACATGGACCATTCCATAGAGGAATACCCAAAATAAAATATAAGTGAAGAGGCCAGATATCAACGAATGTGTAAGTGATAAACTCCGACTGATGAAGTAATTGTGCCACTCAAAATTCGCTTTCATCTCCCAAAATATAGCCTGAAAAATAAGGCACGGTTTATCTCAGGAGCGGCTGTAAGGAAAGACTTTAGCTCAGTGAAATTCAGCTTTATATGAAACACGTGAAAGCGGGATTACGGTCCAACGTGAGTTTTTTTCAGCTACCATTTTCAGGGAGTTGTCCCCAGATTTCTCTATCAACCACAGTCACATCTCCCTTCCCCAAAAAGCATCTCATAATATGCAAATATTGGTACAATTTAGTTTTAAAACTTACAAAATGCAGTCACAATGATACGGGACGATTCTTTGTCTATTTTTTCTTGGCCGGAATTCTCAGCGAATAAAAGAATGCGATCAGAGGGATGGCAGGAATTTAACAAATTACCTGTAAGATAACCAAGACGAAATAGAAAACAAAGCCGGAGATACCGGTTAATCCAAGAATGCCACTTGCCATACCAGCTGCCGCTGCCTGACAAGTTCTTGAATATTCCAGCACACCTATGTTGTGGCGTATTGCCACCTCACTGTATACCTGAAATTATTAGCCAAAATAACACTTTCCGTGAGCCACAAAAAATGACATCATTTGGAATTACATATTTTTAAAATCTGTTTCAGTCACTGAGAAAAGATTAAGACACGCAGCAGTTAACAATAAATTTCAGCGTGCACCAGAGCAGCCGGTGCGATCATGCTTTTTGTGCAATTCCGTTCACCGAAAAATTGCCTGTTAATGACTTTCACTGCCCCGTCGAAACTTCACAGGGCCATGAGTGATACTCGGACGAGCGGGAAGCTGAATTTAAAATTGCAGGGTTGTATGTGGACAGAACACAATACCATAAAATTTAGCTTCCTGGCTTTTATGGTTCCCGAGACAATAATCTCTCCGCCAAAATTTCTACGGGGCCGTAGATGATACCCGAGAGCGTAAGAACGCTGAATTTGAATTTGCAAGGTCGTACGTAGGTAGGGGCTCATTACTCAAAAATTTTAATTTCCTGGATTCCGTGGTCCCCGAGATAATAACTTATCCGTCAAAACCGTAAAGGGGTCGTAGGCGGTACCGAAAAGCGCGGGAACGCTGAATTTGAATGGGCAAGGCCGGGCGTGGGCGGGGAGTCATTACACTAAACTTTCACCATCTACATTTAGCTGTTCCCGAGATAATAATTTACCTGCAAAAATTTTCACCGGGCCGTTCGTGCTATCTGCGGGCAGGAGAAGGCTGAATTTAAATTTTCTGGGTCGCGTGTGAGCAGGGGACACGCCTGCAAAATTTCAGCCTTCTAGCTCCTGTGGTCCCCGTGATAATTTTATTCTTTTACGAGGCCGTACGTGTTACCCGTGGGTACGGCAAGTGAATGCATAAAAACTATCAAAAACAATAGATGCGAAGAAGAAGCTAATACTGCTAATACAACAATGGCACATATATCGATATATGCATGCACCGCCAATTTATTAGCAAAATGCATTCAAGTTATTTTATGATCCCAAACTGTTCCTAAACTATAATTTTTATGGGAAAAGTCGAGAAAAAAAAAAAAAAACGATTTGAAAAGCTACCGCTATCTGTCCGGCTTCCTTCGTTGTTTTGCTCTCAGCACCTGAGCGTTTGCTGCTTGCTGTCGGTGCCATCACGCATACAGAGTGCAGGAATATGAAGAAATCCCGCACGGATTTGTGGCGCTAACAGCGAAGCAACAAAATATGATGATACAACGCTCGGAATCTGAATAATGCCAGAAATGCTGTGCTCAACTTGCAAT